GCAGTGAAGTATAACTCCATCACACAGAATGACGGTTGAGGACATTCACATCAGGCTGAAATCTCAACAGGGAAACTGCTACTGTGCCAGGACTGGAGCTAGGAATTCTAGATCTGCATCGGTCTCCAAGAAAGCTCCCAAGGAAAAGCCAAGCACCCTGCATCCAGCCCCAGCAATGCACCTGGGAGACCCTGAAGAAAGGAGCTCACCTCTCTAGGTCTCAGTGTCCTCATCTAGAATGAGTTCCGTCTCAGCTTTAACACTGTGTGACATATTCCTTCATAGCAACAATAAAAATGCAACAACAAAAGACACAGTAGCTCCTGGGGGTATGTTCCGTACCAGGCATAACTCTAACTGCTTCACACGGACTAATCTGGACCATGGCCTAAGAAGGCAGGTACCATTCTATTTTACAAACAAGGAAACTGAGGCACAGAGAGTTCAACAATTCGCCAAAGATCACAGAGATGGAAAGGGACAAAGCCAAAGGATCAATGGAGAGAGACGCTCTTAACCATTACCCTCTCTGCCTTTTTTAAAGGGAGAAGAGTAGGTACTGTGCAGATATTTCATTATGCATTTTAATATCCCAAGGATGCTTCCAAAGCCTTGTTAACCCTCTAAATGGCAACCACCTTTTCTGCAGAAAATTACAGTTTTTTCTTTCTCTTTTGTTTATACCACAGTTAAATTGTAACTAAAATGACTTGTGAATTACTGGTTGCAATTACAAACACCTGCCATGTAAGATTTTCCTGTATGCACAGAAATGTACAGGAAGGTGTATTTTTAGCTACCTCTACTCCAATTCCTATTAACATGCACTACTTCCCATGCACCCCCAGAATTATGAGACTAGAGAAGTATGCACAGAATTTCCCGCTCCTTGGAGGAGATGCCAGACATATTTAGCTGCCTTCTCCAGCCTTCACCCGCCAAGAAAAGGGTGAAGGATTGAGTTTCTCCCTATTGATATCTTTCTACCCACTGGGGTCACTGAAATATTGTCTGGAATAATAAAGCCAATTTCCCTATAAAATGACTGGGTTTGGAAGGATTAAAATTCTTTTTCCATGTATAGCTAAAAGAAACACTGATATATCTGCCCCTAGAAAAAAATACCCAATGCTGGAAAATTGATTTGGAATGACAAGCACTTATGGTTATTGTTTCAAAGACTCCCTCACCAAATCATGTAAAAGCAAGAAAGGAGATGATATTCTTAGTCAAAATCATGCATGTAACATATTTAATCAAAGTACATATGCTTATATGGATTTCAATATCAAACTCAAACAAAAAATCTATTTTATTGCAATATCTGACTATTTAAAATTTATGGGAGCAAAAGTTTTCCATTCCGATTGAAATATTAACTATTTCTAATCATAAATTTTAGCTAAAACAAATCTGGATGGAGCCGGCTGGTATTTTGACAAAGTGAAAAATTTATGTCAACTTTCCTAACAATGGTAGGCCAATTTTGAGAAAAGCATGCTGATTTGGGACATAATAAACGAGACAGGATTTAATGCTAATAGACGGTTTCCATGCACTTAGTAATGAGACCAGTCCTGAAAAGTGAAGTGACCTCGTAAGACTTAGAATTTAAAGTCTGGTCTCATTAGTTCCAAGTTTTCTGATGCCAGGTATCAAGTTTTTTTTGCCCTGTACTATCATTAAAATGTCCAAGAAAAGCAACAGAAAATATTTTTCATATTATTAATCAAAATGTTAAAATTCGGGGTGCCTGGGTGGCTCAGTCGTTAAGCGTCTACCTTCGGCTCAGGTCATGATCCCAGAGTCCTGGGATCGAGCCCCGCATCAGGCTCCCTGCTCGGCGGGGAGCCTGCTTCTCCCTCTCCCACTCCCCCTGCTTCTAATCCCTCTATCGCTGTCTCTCTCCCTCTCTCTGTCAAATAAATAAATAAAATCTTAAAAAAAAAAAAGTTAAAATTCAAGACATCCTATCAGGTGTCCTATTTATTTCATGTCCAGATAATTCCTAACAAATATGGAGTTAAAGCTACTGAATAGCTTAAAAAAACAAAAACAAAAAAACCCCTACTTAATAGCTTTTTATGTAGAAAATAATTAAGTGAGATGAAGTTTCAATTCAGAATTTATTTTGACAGTATAATAAAAATACTTCAAGAACTACTTTAACTTCAAGATCAACTGCTACAGATTCATGGACTGATCCTAAGTAGAAATAAGGGAAATCAGTTTGTGAATAATGTCAATTAGGGAGACTCTAAGTCAAGACAAAACTTACTGCTTTCTTTTTGAACAGCTATATCAAATCACTTCATACAAAGGCAATTACATACAGCAAAACATCACTATGTACTTGGACGATGCCGAGATCATTTTGTGATCCAAATGTTCTAGGAGAGGATGGATGGGCGTTAAGAAGATTGCCAGACTTCTTCTACTACAAGAACTGATGGAAATCTAATAGAAACCAAAATCAGGCAGATTCATGGGAAAGAAGAAATCTGTCCAAGATTTCAGGCAGCAAAAATAGATCTGCCGAGCTCCTGAATTACATCAGAGCCCAGCTATTCTTGTAAAGCGCTCGAAGGTGGAACCCTGGCCCAGCCCCAAGCGACTATTTCCATCTTCCCAAGGTAGCTGAGCCCTGGTCAGTCTGAGACATGAACTCACCCCACTTGGTGTGAACACAGCTCTACCTGAACACCATCCCATCTTTCAATGCTCCATCTTTGACTGTGTGAACGGAGAGAATTTTTTGGAAAGTGGAACTGCTATTTATGATATTACTAAAAGCAAAAGAGAAACAAGCTGTCCAGAGCTCAGAATTGTCCCAGTCCTTCCCAAAGTCCAGTATCCAAAGATAATTATGCCCATTGTTTCCAGGGGTTTCCCACCTCCCACTTGGCCCTGCAGCCCCAGTCCCCACCTGAAGGGAGCCTCTCTACCAGCCCCAGTCATACTCCCTGATTCTAGAACATTTCTGCATAGCTCCTCACCTCAAAAGATTGACATAGCAGTCAGTCTGTGGACCAGGTATAGCAAAGAATAGTCCCTTCTGTTGCCTCTGGACATCATCCTGGGCTACAGCCATGCCATGGTAAATGTGCTTAAAACAATTTGGCTGAATGCCAGGAAAGTGTGGAAAGGTTGATTTCTCAAGGAAAAGTAAAGATGCCTGGATAAACTTTTAAAAGGATACCACTCAGCACTTGCACCACATGAAATGGAACATAAAGGAATTGTATAAAGGAAGACAAATCCAAAGCTCGAAACAACTCAGAGAAGGGTGCTCTTAGCTGAACTACACGGAATCTCAGATCTCTTCAAGAACATCGACATCAATACGGTTTAAGAAATCAGAGATCTATACCATAGAAAAAAAGTAGTGTGTGTTGGAGATGTGAACTTCGCCCTTGTCTTTAAATATATTAATGGTGCTATAAATAGGCCATCACCTGCTCCTCCTTTTCCATTTGGAAGAGAACAAGCCAGAAGGGTTTGAATTACAGATTCAACAGAATCACAAGCAGCAATGTCCTGGCAGAACAGATTTCCAGGGGAACTGACATGTTTTCTTCCCTGCAAGTACAGAAATGAAAAGGAGACGCTTTTTAGAGACCCAGCTTCCAGCCTTAAAAGTGGTGAAGAGAGATCAAGATGGCATTCCAGGGAGCATTGGAGGCTGATTACAAGGGTGTGAGGACTGCCTTGAACTCACACCCAGAATACAGGATCAAAAGGTGCTCAGGACTTTATGTGTTACTCTGTTAAGAACCAGTTCTCGATCTGTGCCATCATTATCTCCTACATTCTACTTTTTATTCTCACCGAATTCCACCGGAAGACAGCACTTCTTTAGTAGTAGTGGGGGGTGGGGGGAAGAACTTTACTTTTTAAAGAACGCTATGATGATAACAAGTTTTCCCATGCATAATAATTGAGTACCATCTGGCTCAGGATATCAGAAACAAACTGCCAAACACGAAGAACAGCTATTTTTCACACTTGGTGAAATATAACCAAACAACCATTTCTTAGCTTGGTGGACACGAATATAGGTGCATGCTTATATTCTGAGCTAAAAAATATATCATTCAGTAGAGACATCCCCAGATCAACCGCTGACCAAAAATATCTCCCTGGATAATCGATGCCTGGCACAATCTGCACATACATAATCATCAGAGGCAATGCAAAAGTTTGAGCCACACAACTAGAATGATCGGTAACAGGAAGTTTACCGCCATCTACAGATTTTTCCCTCACTGCTCAAGGGAGCGAGCCAAGGATTCCTGCTTGAAAAATATAAATTGGCAAAACCGGCATCAGCTGTTGAGTTGCATTATGCTCCCAGTGATGAAAGCCACTTCAATAACCTGCACAAAACAGTAAACACGATTAACTACCTCTCTAGAAACAGGAAATCGGGGGTCCATCAGCGCTTGCTACTTAACAGGCTCAGAGCATGAGGACTCACAACAGGTCAACACCCCGTCTCTGTCTATGGCACTAAACACACACAGATTGCAAGGCAAAATGTACAATAATATCCTTTTTTTCATTTCCCTCGCCATTAACCACTTTCCCAAGGCAGGCTTTGGAGAGTTAAGGAGCAATCCAAACTAAAGCGCCTGTTCCGGGGCCATACAGTGGCCTTGAGAAGCAGCCCGCCGGCCGCTCCTGGAGCAGATGTTGCGGGCAGCGGCGCGGGGAGGAAGGCGCAGCGGGCTCTGCCAGCGGATGCGCAGAGCCGGGGAAGGCACACGCCCTGTCCGTCCACCTGGGGGACACCCCGGCAACTTTATTTTGGGCAGAACCTTCCAGGGAAACTTTTCTCTCGCCCGCAGCCCTTGCGAGCCGGGCCGGCCGCGGGCGGGCAGGAGAGGCCGGGAGCGGCGGGCCGAGGGGCCGCCCCCGGCGGGACGCGGCTCGCCAGGCTGGGTCCCTGTCGTCTCGGGACCGGGACAGCGCGGGGCAGATCCCGCGGGGAGGCCACTCACCAGCCGGAGCGCGAAGAAGACGGCGAGCAGGGCGAGGCAGGCGCCCATGACGATGAGCAGCAGGAAGACGATGAGCGGGTGCTGCTGGCTCATGCAGTAGTAGGACTCATAGAGCCAG